TGCAGCGGATTCGTCAGTCTGTCTCGAAATCCATCACATTTTCACAGTAACCATTAAAATCGGCCAAGTTCTAGTGAAAATCGCTGGAAATCACTCAAATCCATAGTAGCCTACCAAAATTCACGATAGCCTTTAACCGAGGAAGTAAGCACAGGGTTCTTTTAATATACATAATTTCCATTGTTTGCCTATTATCAGATTAAATATTCAGGTTCGAGAGTTAAAAGTCAGCCAGATTTATTTAATTCAGAACTTTTTTCGTTAGGAGATGTACGGTTGTCGAAAATAACGATTATTCGAAAATTTTGAGAAACCACTTCTAATTGGAATTTCTCGGTCTCAAAATATCTTGATCAACCTTAACAGAAAAAACGGTATTTCGAGAAATAGAGTTTCTCTACAGAAAAAAATATAATTCACTAAGTCTCACTTATCAGTTACTCGATAACTTCCGCAGTAAGATAAAAAAAGGCACGAGAACAATTATCGTAACGCATCCTTGCGCATTTTTTGATTTTAAAATATATAAAACATGCTTATCCATTTTTAGTTGAAACAACCACTACGACAACTACAACAACCACCACCACGACGACTATAACAACGACCACCACGACAACAACAACAACAACAACAACAGTAGCGGCACGTAAGCAAACGAGTGTCCTATTTTGTTTCCAATTTCTCTCTTTTTTAACCTACTGAATACAATGACTATAATACAGTTAAATATTGATCACGCATAATGTTTGATCTCCGTTGTTAATTAACAACACAAACGTAAGAAGGATGAAGAACTGAATTATGATGAAGTGTTGAGTTTAGTTAGTGAATGACACATTATTAGAAGTCCACAAATGATTTAGTTGGTAGAAATAAGAGATCAAAGTTTTACAAGAATTCAGTGTTATTTGTATTTTGTGTCTTAGCTGAAATATTTTGTAGAACAAACTTTCGTAATATGCTTTTATGTTTGCATTTGTTGCATTAAATAACAAAATAATATGAATGAATAGATTGAAGTATAGAAATCCTTATAAAATAGATTATCTCAAGTAAGATTTGTATTTTGATTGATTGTACATTCTTATTTATTCCTCTCTTTTCTGTTGTTGTTATTGTTCTAATAATATTAATTTATAGTTATGCTTGGTATGGTTTAAGAGACATTGTTGACCATCAATATTAAACTTATTGTAAAATAGGTGAATCATTTGAGATGAAATTTGGGAACAAATGATATGTGAACGTGAATGAGTTCTGATAGAGAACGTAAGGTTATCATTCTGTGATCAATAACTATCTCATCTATCTTGTCTTGATTGATGAGATAATCCAGTGAACTATTGAATTAATTAGACATTCAATACTATCTTTATTCTTAGATTAATCTTTTATCTCATGTTTCGAATATTTGTATAAGTTTGTTTTTTCTATGATAATGTTCATTGACATAAAAAGATGTGAATGGCAAATTGACGAAAAGTTGTTGTTGTGTCAAGAAATTTAAGTAGAAAATTTGATTAAATATGAAGCATCACTCAGGACAGAGTCAAAAGAAACTAAATAGGTGAACTTGTGAAAATTAATGGAGAACTAACAATGATTTGATAGTGAATTATCAGAAACTTCGAGATTAAACACTCATTTTTTCACTATTTTATGTGTTATATTAGTTCGAGTGAAGAATACTATACAGTCCTTTGGATACCATACATAGATTATTGAAAAGAAAATGTTATGAATAATTCATTCTTTCGATTATAATATTCAGAGAATTATGAAAGAGTTGATGAAAAGTTTATGTTTTTTTATTCTATTGGATAGTTTTCGAGCATAGCCGGTAAAATTTGTAGAGAACCAAAAAACACATCAGTCAGTGTAATTGTCACAGTGGTCAATTTGAGACAAATATGTTCTATATATTTGATTGAGATAACAGAGAAAACGGAAAATATAGAAAACTGAAGATGTGATAATGATATGTGAAGAGATTTTATGAAATATATTTGATTACTATTCTCGGTCTACATAAGTTTGAGGTGACATAAAACAGACATATCAACGACTGTTTTTAGAACAATGAAAAATATTGTAGAAGAATGATGAATGTCTATTATTTGATTATCTAATGTTGTATAGTCTAAGTACATAAAAATGTAACTTCTAGGATGGTTTTCTACTGAAAATATGATTAATGCACGATATTGGCACACAGCATCTGTGTTATCAAATGAAAAAG